CCCAAAACCGGCCAAAAAATCCCATCAAAATCCCCTAAAACTTCCCCCAAAAATCCCATAAAAATCCCATAAAAATCCCCTAAAATTTCCCCCTAAAAATCCCATTGAAATCCCATAAAGGTCCCTTTAAGAGGAAGGCGCCATCTTGTGGATGTGAGGGACTCGTAACTGGGGAAGGGGGAACCCAAAAGCGTCCAAAAAAATCCCATTAAAAACCCCTAAAACTTCCCCCAAAAATCCCATAAAAATCCCATAAAAAATCCCATTGAAATCCTATTGAAATCCCATAAAGGTCCCTTTAAGAGGAGGGCGCCATCTTGTGGATGTGAGGGACTCGTAAGAGGGAAGGGGAAGGAGGGACCCAAAAAGTACAAAAATTCCCCAAAAACCCCAAAAAAATCCCATTAAAAACCCCTAAAACCTCCCCCAAAAATCCCATCAAAATCCCATAAAAAATCCCATTGAAATTCCATAAAAGTCCCTTTAAGAGGAAGGCGCCATCTTGTGGATGTGAGGGACTCGTAAGAGGGAAGGGGAGACCCCAAAAGATCTCAAACTTAAAAACCCAAAAAGCCCCAAAATCCCCAAAAAATCCCCATTAAAAACCCCTAAAACCTCCCCCAAAAAATCCCATCAAAATCCCATAAAAATCCCATTGAAATCCTATTGAAATTCCATGAAGGTCCCTTTAAGAGGAGGGCGCCATCTTGTGGATGTGAGGGACTCGTAAGAGGGAAGGGGCAGGGGAGACCCCAAAATCCCCAAAAATCAGTAAAAAAATCCCCAAAAAATCCTACCGAAAATCCCATAAAAATCCCATAAAACCTCCCCCAAAAATCCCATAAAAATCCCACTGAAATTCTACTGAAATTCCATAAAGGTCCCTTTAAGAGGAGGGCGCCATCTTGTGGATGTGAGGGACTCGTAAGAGGGAAGGGGAAGGAGGGACCCAAAAAGTACAAAAATAACCCCATAAAAAACCCCTAAAAGCTCCCCCAAAATCCCATCAAAATCCCATCAAAATCCCCTAAAACTTCCCACAAAAATCCCATAAAAGTCCCATTAAAATTCCATAAAGGTCCCTTTAAGAGGAGGGCGCCATCTTGTGGATGTGAGGGACTCGTAATTGGGGAAGGGGCAGGGGAGACCCCAAAAGATCCCAAATCCCAAAAACCCCAAAAACCCCAAAATCCGTAAAAAAATTTTAAAAATCCTATTAAAAAACCGCAAAAAATGTTGGCGTCTCTTTGTGGAATTTTCAAGTATGAGGGGTTTTTGGGGCCGTTTTTGGCTTTCTCTGAGGGGATTTTGGGTTTCTCTGAGGGGATTTTAGGGTCGAGGGGGGGTTTTGGGTTCACCGAGCCCAATTTTGGGGTGAATTTCAGCATTTTCGGGGTCTCTGTGGGGTTTTTTGGGCACATTTTGAGGTCTCCCCCCCCCCCCTCCATGATCCACCCGCACTTCCCGCTCACAGGGCCAGGGAAGCTTCGTTTCCCAGAGGATTTTGGGCGTTTTTTGAGCCGATTTTGAGGCTTTTGGGGCTGATTTTGGGGTTTTCGGGGTCGCCGAGGCCGATTTTGGGGTGAATTCGGGGGATTTCGGGGTCCCTCACCTTCGATGAGCCACTCGCAGTTGCCGTTGACCGAGTAATTGCCGGGGCCGTCGGTGACGAAGCCGCGGGGTCCCCTCAGGATCTGGCGCTGCCCTTTGCAATCCCCGGCTCCCACCCGGGGTGGGACCCCCAAAAAAACCCCAAAAAAACCCCAAAAGCAGCGCCCCGGGGACCCCCATGGTTCCAGGCTGGGGGGGGGGGGGGGGGGGGGGAGCTGGAAGAGAAAATTTGGGGTTAAAAGGAAGGGAATTGGGGCCAGGAGGTGCTGAAAAGGTTCTAAAGCTCACAGGGGATCCCAAATCCCAAAGAAAGCCCCAAAAGCCCACAAGGACCCCCTGAAACACCCCAAAACCACACAAACACCCCAAAAACCACACAAACACCCCTAAAAACCCCCTAAAATTTTAACGGGATGCTCCAGACCTGACTGTGGGGATGCTGAACCTTCCCCCAGGACCCCCGAATCCCCTCAGGATTCCTGAAACCCCTCAGGACCCCCCCAAATCTCCCCAAAATCTCCTCATGATCCCCTTAGAACCTCCCAAATTCACTCTTAAGCCCTTGAGGATTCCCCAAATCCTCCCCCAAAGCCTCACGATCCCCTCACAACCCTCTAAAACCCCCTCAATCCCCTCACAATCCCTTCACGATCCCCTAAAACCCCCGAAAATCCCCTCACGACCCCTTCAAAGACCCTCATCCCCTCATGATTCCCTCACGAACCCCTCGTCCCCTCACGACCCTTTAAAATCCCGTAAAATCCTCTCAGGACCCCCTAAAATCCCCTCACTATCTCCTCAGGATCCCCCACATCCCCTCACAACCCCCTCAGCATCCTTAAAACCTCCTCATCCCCTCACGACCCCCCAAAACTTCTCACGATCCCCTCAGCACCCCTAAAACCCCCTCACGACCCCTCAAAACCGCCTAAAAACCCTTAAATCTCCTGACGATCTCCTCAGCCCCCCCCAAAACCGCCTTATTCCCTCACAACCCCCTCAGCATCCCTAAAACCGCCTCACAATCCCCTCACGACCCCTCAAAACTCCTCACGACCCTTCACAATCCCCTCAACACCCCCTAAAACCGCCTCACCCCCTCACGATCCCCTCACGACCCCCCAGAACCCCCTCACCCCCTCACGATTCCCGCGTCCCCTCAGTCCCACCTCCCCCCACCGGGCCCGCCGGGGTCCCGCAGGCCTCACGGGCTCTGCCAGGCCCCGCGAAGCAGCGAGGGCTCGCGGGGGCCGCTGGGAGAGCTCCCCTAAGCGCCGAAAAGCGGCGATAAAGTCGCGATAGAGCCGCGATAGAGCCGCGATAGGCGCGGCCCCTCCCCCCCTCACCCGCTGGCGGCGGCTCCTGAGGCGGCGGGGGGGAGAGGGGGCGGGGCCAGCAGAGGGGGCGGGGCCAGAAGAGGCGGGGAATGGGCGGGAATTGAAAGTGGGCGTGGTTATGTGGAGAAATGGGCGTGGCTATTGAAGGGGCGGGGCTACTGAGGGAGTGTGGGCGGGGCCGGAGGGAAATTCGGGATTTTTGGGGTGAAAAATGCGAAATTTGGGACAGGGAGCGTCTCCTTTGCTCCAGGGTGAGGCGATCCCAAGACAGCTGCGTGTTCTTCTCGCAGCCTTCGTCCTCCTCATCATCAAATCGGCTCCAAGGGGGAAAATTGGGGATTTTTGGGGTGAAAAACCTGGATTTTGGGACAGGGAATGATCCCGTTTGCTCCAGGATGGGGCCGCTCCAGCTCGTCCTCCTCGGAGTCTTCATCCTCTTTCTCCTCCTCAAATCGCCCCAAAATCATCCAAATTCACCCCAAAAGTGCCCAAAATCAGCCCAAAATTGCTCCAAATCGCACTAAAACCAGAATTGCCCAAAATTAGCCCCGAATCACCCCAAAGTTGCCCTAAATCTCCTGAAACCTCCCCAAAACCTACTCAGGACACCCCCAGCTCCTTAAGAAGGCCTCAAGACCCCCAAAAATCTCCCCAAAATCGCCCCAAAATTGCCCAAAATCTTCTGAAACTCCCTCAAAACCGACTCAGGAGCCCCCAAAGCCCTTTAAAAACTCCCCAGGACCCCAAAAAATCTCCCAAAAATCCCCAAAATCACCCCAAAACCACCCAAAAATTGTTCCAAATCACCTCAAAATTGCCCAAAATCTCCTGAACCCCGCCAAAATCCACTCAGGAACCCCCAAAACCTCTCAAGTCCCCCCAAAAATCTCCCCAAAATCGCCCCCAAATCCCCCAAAACTGCACCAAATCATCCCCAAAACCGCAATGAAATTGTTCCAAAATCCCCCAAAATTGCCCCCAATCACCCCAAAAATTGCCCAATCACCCCAAAAATTGCCCGAAGTCTTCTGAAACTCCCTCAAAACCGACGCAGGAGCCCCCAAACCCCTTTAAAAATCGCCCCAAATCTCCCCTAAATCCCCAAAATCGCCCCCAAATCCCCCAAAATCCCCCCCAAATCCCCCAAAATCGCCCCCAAACCCCTTTAAAAATTGCCCAATCACCCCAAAAATTGCCCAAAGTCTTCTGAAACTCCCTCAAAACCGACTCAGGAGCCCCCAAACCCCTTTAAAAATCGCCCCAAATCTCCCCAAAATCGCCCCAAATTCCCCCCAAACCCCTTTAAAAATCGCCCCAAAATCGCCCCCAAATTGCCCCCAAAATCGCCCCCAGATCCCCCAAAACTGCACCAAATCACTCCCAAAACCGCAAAGAAATTGTTCCAAAATCCCCCCAAATTACCCAAAATCTTCTGAAACTCCCTCAAAACCTACTCAGGAGCCCCCAAACCCCTTTAAAAATCGCCCCAAATCTCCCCTAAATCCCCAAAATCGCCCCCAAATCCCCCAAATCGCCCCCAAATCGCCCAAAATCGCCCCCAAATCTCCCCTAAATCGCCCCAAATTCCCCCCAAAATCGCCCCCAAATCCCCCAAAATCGCCCCCAAATCTCCCCTAAATCGCCCCAAATTCCCCCCAAAATCGCCCCCAAATCCCCCAAAACTGCACCAAATCACCCCCAAAACCGCAAAGAAATTGTTCCAAAATCCCCCAAAATCGCCCCAAATCTCCCCCAAAATCCCCCCAAAATCCCCCCACCCCGGCCCCCGCCTTAGCCCCGCCCCCGCCTAAACCCCGCCCCGTCTTAGCCCCGCCCCTCGCCTTAACCCCGCCCTCGTTTTAGCCCCGCCCCTCCTTAGCCCCGCCCTCTCCTTATCGCCGCCCCTCGTGGGCGTGGCCGTGTCGCAGTGGGCGTGGCCGGCGCGGGCAGCGATCGATGGGGCTGCGGCCGGGGGCGATCCCGGCTTTGGGGGTGCCGGGTTTGGGGGTCCCGGGGGGGCTCCCGGGGGTCGCCGCGGGTTTGGGGGTGCCGGGGGGGGTCCCGGGGGGGTTCCCCGGTGCTGCTGCCGCTGCTGCTGCTGCTGCTGCCCGCGGGAGCCGCCCCCAAATACGTGCGGGGCCGCATCAGCACCAAGGAGGTCAGCGGGGAATTTGGGGAGGGGGCTTCGGGGATGGGGGGGGGGGAGAGAAGGGATTGGGGGACCCCCCCATCATCATCATGGCCGGATTGGGTGGGGGGATTGATTGGTTTAATTGGAATTCATTTAATTTAATTTATTTTGATTTAATTTGATTTAATTTGATTTAATTTAATTAATGGAGGACCCCCCCCCCCCATTATATCGGGAGCCGCCAAATTTACACGAGACCCCCCCCCATTATATCGGGACCCCTCCCTAAATTACATCGGGACCCCTCTCATTTATATCGTGACCCCCCCAAAATTGACCGGACCCCCCCATTTCCATTGAGACCCCTCCCCAAATTACACCGGGACCCCCCATTTCCATCGAGACCCCTCCCCAAATTACATCGGGACCCCCAAAAATTGCACCGGACCCCCCCCATTATATCGGGACCCCCCCATTATATCGGGACCCCTCCCCAAATTACATCGGGACCCCCCAAAAATTGCACCGGACCCCCCCAAATTCACCGGACCCCCCCATTTCCATCGGGACCCCTCCCCAATTTACACCGGACCCCCCCATTATATCGGGACCCCTCCATTTCCATCGAGACCCCTCCCCAAATTACACCAGACCCCCCCCATTTATATCGGGACCCCCCGATTATATCGAGACCCCTCCCCAAATTACACCGGACCCCCCCATTTCCATCGGGACCCCTCCCCAAAATTGACCGGACCCCCCCATTATATCGGGACCCCTCCCCAATTTACACCGGACCCCCCCCATTATATCGGGACCCCCCCATTGTATCGAGACCCCTCCCCAAATTACATCAGGACCCCCCCAAATTCACCGGACCCCCCCATTTCCATCGGGACCCCTCCCCAATTTACACCAGACCCCCCCCCCATTATATCGGGACCCCCCCATTGTATCGGGACCCCTCCCCAAATTACATCGGGACCCCCAAAAATTGCACCGGACCCCCCCCATTCCCCCCCATTTATATCGGGACCCCTCCCCAAATTACACCAGACCCCCCCCATTATATCGGGACCCCTCCCATTATATCGGGACCCCTCCCCAAATTACACCGCCCCCCCCCCGTGTTTTTGGGGGGTCCCTGGGGGGTCCCGGGGGTGTTCAGGACCCCCCCCCCCAAAATGAATCCCCCGCGGTTGCCATGGAAACGCAGAGCGCGGCCGTTGCCGTGGCAACCGCGGGGTTTGGGGAGGGGTCTCGGGGCGGGATTTGGGTCTGGGGGCTCCGGGGGGGCTTTGGGGGGGTCATGGGGGGGGGGTTCAGGGGGGCGTGAGTGGGGTTGGGGGGGGCTTGGGGGTAGAATTTGGGTCTGGGGTCCCCATTTGGGTCTGGGGTCTTCATTTGGGTCTGGGGTCCTCATTTGGGTCTGGGGTCTCCGTTTGGGTCTGGGGTCTCCATAATTTGGGCCTGGGTCTCGATTTGGGTCTGGGGTCCCAGTTTGGGTCTGGGATTCCAGTTTGGGTCTGGGGTCTCCATTTGGGTCTGGAGCCCCTATTTGGGTCTGGGGTCTCAGTTTGGGTCTGGGGTCCTCATTTGGGTCTGGGGTCTCAGTTTGGGTCTGGGGTCCTCATTTGGGTCTGGGGTCTCGATTCGGGTCTGGGGTCTCCATTTGGGTCTGGGGTCCCTGATTTGGGGCTGGGGTCTCCATTTGGGTCTGGGGTCTCCATTTGGGTCTGGGGTCTCAGTTTGGGTCTGGGGTCCCCCTGATTTGGGTCTGGGGTCTCCATAATTTGGGTCTGGGGTCTCCATTTGGGTCTGGGGTCGCTGGGTGACGTTTGGGGGTTTCTGTATTGAGATTTTGGGGAGGTTTCTTGGGGTCCCCATTTGGGTCTGGGGTCCCCATAATTTGGGTCTGGGGTCCCCCTGATTTGGGTCTGGGGTCCCATTTGGGTCTGGGGTCTCCATCATTTGGGTCTGGGGTCGCTGGGGGAGGTTTTAGGGGGAATTCCTTGGGGTCCCCATTTGGGTCTGGGGTCCTCATTTGGGTCTGGGGTCCCAGTTTGGGTCTGGGGTCTCTGGGGGAGGTTTTAGGGGGGATTTTGGGGGAATTCCTTGGTCTGGGTCCCCCTGATTTGGGTCTGGGGTCTCCATTTGGGTCTGGGGTCCCAGTTTGGGTCTGGGGTCTCTGGGGGAGGTTTTAGGGGGGGTCTGGGCCCCCATAATTTGGGTCTGGGGTCTCCCTGATTTGGGTCTGGGGTCCCCCTGATTTGGGTCTGGGGTCTCCCTGATTTGGGTCTGGGGGTCCCCCTGATTTGGGTCTGGGGTCTCTGCAGGACTGGGTGTTCCTGACCCGTTTCTGTTTCCTGTCCGATTTCGGCCGCCTCGATTTCCACTTTCGGTACCCCGAGGTCAGCCCCGAAGCCCCCCAGACCCAAATTAACCCCAAAGCCCCCAGACCCAAATTAACCCAGATACCCCCCAAAGCCCCCAGACCCAAATGAAACCCCCAAATAACCCCCAAAGCCCCCAGACCCAAATTAACCCAAATATCCCCCAGATATTCCCAAAGCCCCCAGACCCAAATATCCCCCAAAGCCCCCAGACCCAAATTAACCCCAAAGCCCCCAGACCCAAATTACCCCAGATATCCCCTAAAGCCCCCAGACCCAAATGAAGCCCCCAGCCCCAAATACCCCAAGATTCTCCTAAAGCCCCCAGACCCAAATAACCGCCAAATAACCCCCAAATATCCCCCAAAGCCCCCAGACCCAAAATCCCCCAAATATCCCCCAAAAGCCCCCAGCCCCAAACTGAAGCCCCCAGCCCCAACTGAAGCCCCCAGCCCCAAATAAAGCCCCCAGCCCCAATTCTCCCAGATTCTCCCCAAGCCCCCAGCCCCAAATGAAGCCCCCAGCCCCAAATGAAATCCCCAGATTCTCCCAAAACCCCCAGCCCCAGGTGAAGCCCCCAGGCCCAATTGAAGACCCCAGCCCAAACTGAAGCCCCCAGCCCCAATTCCCCAGATTCTCCCTGAAGCTCCCAGCCCCAATTGAAGCCCCCAGCCCCAAGGGAAGCCCCCAGCCCCCAAACTCCCCAAAGCCCCCAGCCCCAAATACCCCAGATTCTCCCCAAAGCCCCCAGCCCCAAATACCCCCAGAATCTCCCAAAACCCCCAGCCCCAAATGAAGCCCCCAGCCCCAAATACCTGCCAACCCCAAACCGAAGCCCCCAGCCCCAAATAAAGCCCCAGCCCCAACTGAAGTCCCCAGCCCAAACTGAAGCCCCCCAGCCCCAATTCCCCCAGATTCTCCCAAAGCCCCCAGCCCCAAACTCCCTGAAGCCCCCAGCCCCCAATTGAAGCCCCCAGCCCCAAATACCCCAGATTCTCCCCAGGCCCCCAGCCCCAACTGAAGCCCCCAGCCCCAAATACTCCCCCAGCCCCAATTGAAGCCCCCAACCCCAAACTCCCTGAAGCCCCCAGCCCCAAACCGAAGCCCCCAGCCCCAGTTGAAGCCCCCAGCCCCATTTGAAGCCCCCAGCCCCAATTCCCCCCCGTCCCCGGCCCCCTCCCCACTTTAGGCCCGCTGCTGCCAGAACATTCTGCTCTACTTCGACGACCCCTCCCAATGGCCCGCGGTCTACAGGAGGGGGGGGCAAGGTACGAATTGGGGCTGGGGGCTTCACCTGGGGCTGGGGGCTTCACTTGGGGCTGGGGCTTTGGGGGGTATTTGGGGCTGGGGGCTTCAATTGGGGCTGGGGGCTTCAATTGGGGCTGGGGGCTTTGAGGGAGTCTGGGGGTATTTGGGGCTGGGGGCTTCAACTGGGGCTGGGGGCTTCACCTGGGGCTGGGGGCTTCATTTGGGGCTGGGGGCTTCAATTGGGGCTGGGGGCTTTGATAGAATCTGGGGTTATTTGGGGCTGGGGGCTTCATTTGGGGCTGGGGGCTTTGGGGGCCAATTGGGGCTGGGGGCTTCATTTGGGGCTGGGGGCTTCAATTGGGGCTGGGGGCTTCAGTTGGGGCTGGGGGCTTCACTTGGGGCTGACGGCTTCAATTGGGGCTGGGGGCTTTGGGGGCCAATTGGGGCTGGGGGCTTCAGTTGGGGCTGGGGGCTTCATTTGGGGCTGGGGGCTTCGAGGGAGTCTGGGGGGTATTTGGGGCTGGGGGCTTCAATTGGGGCTGGGGGCTTTGGGGTTGGTGAATTTGGGGAGGGGTCTTGGGGTTAATTTGGGGAGGGGTCTCGGTGCCTTTGGGGTGAATTTGGGGAGGGGTCTCAGGGAATTGGGAAGGGGTCTCAGCCCCCAAAATTTGGGGGTTTTGGGCTCTTTTGGGGCCATTTTTGGGGTCTGAAACTTCGGGTTTTTTGGGGAGGGGGTCCCGGGGTTAATTTGGGGAGGGGTCTCAGAGGTCTCAGAGAATTTGGGGAGGGGTCTGAAGTCCCAAAATTTGTGGGTTTTTGGGCTCTTTTTGGGGCTTTTTTGGGGCCTTTTTGGGCTCTTTTGGGGCCATTTTGGGCTCTTTTGGGGCATTTTTGGGCTCTAAAACTTCGGGTTTTTTGGGGAGGGGTCCCGGGTTTTTTTGGGGAGGGGTCTCGGGGTGAATTTGGGGAGGGGTCTCTGTGCCTTTGGGGTGAATTTGGGGAGGGGTCTCAGGGAATTTGGGAAGGGGTCTCAGCCCCCAAAATTTGGGGGTTTTGGGCTCTTTTGGGGCCATTTTGGGCTCTTTTGGGGCATTTTTTGGGGCCTGAAACTTCGGGTTTTTTGGGGAGGGGTCCCGGGGCTAATTTGGGGAGGGGTCTCAGAGGTCTCAGAGAATTTGGGGAGGGGTCTCGGGGTGAATTTGGGGAGGGGTCTCAAGTCCCAAAATTTGGGGGTTTTTGGGCTTTTTTGGGGCTTTTTCGGGCATTTTTGGGCTCTAAAACTTCGGGTTTTTTGGGGAGGGGTCTCGGGATTTTTGGGGAGGGGTCCCGGGGCTAATTTGGGGAGGGGTCTCGGTGCCTTTGGGGTGTGAATTTGGGGAGGGGTCTCAGGGAATTGGGAAGGGGTCTCAGCCCCCAAAATTTGGGGGGTTTTGGGCTCTTTTTGGGACTTTTTTGGGGCCTTTTTGGGCTCTTTTGGGGCCATTTTTGGGCCCTGAAACTTCGGGTTTTTTGGGGAGGGGTCTCGGGGTGAATTTGGGGAGGGGTCTCAGGGGGTCTCAGAGAATTTGGGGAGGGGTCTCGGGGTGAATTTGGGGAGGGGTCTCAGGGAATTTGGGAAGGGGTCTCAGCCCCCAAAATTTGGGTTTTTTGGGGCTCTTTTGGGTCAATTTTGGGGCATTTTGGGCTCTTTTGGGGCATTTTTGGGCCCTAAAACTTCGGGTTTTTGGGGAGGGGTCCCGGGTTTTTTTGGGGTGAATTTGGGGAGGGGTCTCGGTGCCTTTGGGGTGTGAATTTGGGGAGGGGTCTCCAGGACTGCCTGGCCAAGGAGTCGGTGATCCGGCCCGAGAACAACCAGGTCATCAACCTGACCACGCAGTACGCCTGGTCCGGCTGCCAGGTGCGAATTGGGGCTGGGGGCTTCGGGGGGAATTCGGGGAGGGGGCTCGGGGGTCCGGGGCAATTTGGGGAGGGGTCTCGGCGCGAAAATTCGGGGTTTTTTGGGGCTTTTTTGGGCGTTTTTTGGGGTTTTTTGGGGCTTTTTTGAGGCTTTTTTGGGGCTTTTTGAGGCCTGAAAACTCCGGGGTTTTTTTGGGGAGGGGTCTTGGGACTCCTGGGATATTTTGGGGAGGGGTCTCAGGGGTTCGGGCCAATTTGGGGAGGGGTCTCAGCTCTCAAAATTTGGGCTTTTTTGGGGCTTTTTTGGGGCTTTTTTGGGCGTTTTTTGGGCCTTTTTTTGGGTTTTTTGGGGCCTGAAAACTCGGGGAATTTGGGGAGGGGGTCCTCAGGGAATTGGGGCTGGGGGCTTCGGGGGGAATTCGGGGAGGGGTCTCGGGGGTCCGGGGCAATTTGGGGAGGGGTCTCGGTGCGAAAATTTGGGGTTTTTTGGGGCTTTTTTGGGGCTTTTTTGGGGCTTTTTGGGGCCTGAAAACTCGGGGAATTTGGGGAGGAGTCTCGGGGCTCTGGGGATATTTTGGGGAGGGGTCTCAGGGAATTGGGTCTGGGGGTTTCGGGGGCAATTTGGGGAGGGGTCTCAGCTCGCAAAATTTGGGCTTTTTTGGGGCTTTTTTGGGTTTTTTTTGGGGGCTTTTTTGGGGTTTTTTGGGCCTTTTTTGAGGCTTTTTTGGGGCTTTTTGGGCTCTAAAAACTCGGGGAATTTGGGGAGGGGTCCCAGGGCGAATTTGGGGAGGGGTCTCGGCGCGAAAATTTGGGCTTTTTTGGGCGTTTTTTGGGGTTTTTTGGGCGTTTTTTGAGGCTCTTTTGAGCCTTTTTTGAGGCTTTTTTGGGCCTGAAAACTCGGGGAATTTGGGGAGGGGTCTCAGGGGTCTGAGGGAATTTGGGGAGGGGTCTCAGCTCTCAAAATTTGGGTTTTTTTGGGCCTTTTTTGGGCGTTTTTTGGGGTTTTTTGGGCCTTTTTTGAGGCTTTTTTGGGGCTTTTTGAGGCCTGAAAACTCGGGGAATTTGGGGAGGGGTCTCAGAGAATTTGGGGAGGGGTCTCAGGGGTTCGGGCCAATTTGGGGAGGGGTCTCGGCCCGAAAATTTGGGCTTTTTTGGGGCTTTTTTGGGGTTTTTTTGGGCGTTTTTTTGGGTTTTTTGGGGCCTGAAAACTCGGGGAATTCGGGGAGGGGTCTCAGGGGTCTGAGGGAATTTGGGGAGGGGTCTCAGCTCTCAAAATTTGGGGTTTTTTTGGGCGTTTTTTTGGGGTTTTTTGAGGCTTTTTTTTGGGGCTTTTTGGGACTTTTTGGGCTCTAAAAACTCGGGGAATTTGGGGAGGGGTCCCGGGGCGAATTTGGGGGAGGGGTCTCAGGGAATTCGGGGAGGGGTCTCAGGGCTCCAGGGCAATTTGGGGAGGGGTCTCAGCTCTCAAAATTTGGGGTTTTTTGGGCCTTTTTTTGGGCCTTTTTTGGGCCTTTTTTGGGGCTTTTTGGGCTCTAAAAGCTTGGGGAATTTGGGGAGGGGTCTCAGGGAATTTGGTCTGGGGGCTTCGAGGGCAATTTGGGGAGGGGTCTCGGCTCTCAAAATTTGGGCTTTTTTGGTGCTTTTTTGGGCGTTTTTTGGGGTTTTTTTGGGATTTTTTGGGCCTTTTTTGGGCCTTTTTTGGGGCTTTTTGGGGCCTGAAAACTCCAGGGGTTTTTTGGGGAGGGGTCTCAGGGATCTGGGGATATTTTGGGGAGGGGTCTGAGGGAATTTGGGGAGGGGTCTGAGGGAATTTGGGGAGGGGTCTCGGCTCTCAAAATTTGGGTTTTTTTGGGGCTTTTTTGAGGCTTTTTTGAGGCTTTTTTGAGGCTTTTTTGGGGCTTTTTGAGGCCTGAAAACTCCGGGGTTTTTTTGGGGAGGGGTCTTGGGACTCCTGGGATATTTTGGGGAGGGGTCTCAGGGGTCCGGGGCAATTTGGGGAGGGGTCTCAGCTCTCAAAATTTGGGGTTTTTTGGGGCTTTTTTGGGGCTTTTTTGGGCTTTTTTGGGGGTTTTTTGGGCCTTTTTTGAGGCTTTTTTGGGCCTGAAAACTCGGGGAATTTGGGGAGGGGTCTCAGGGAATTCGGGGAGGGGTCTCAGGGATCCGGGGCAATTTGGGGAGGGGTCTCAGCTCTCAAAATTTGGGGCTTTTTTGGGCCTTTTTTGTGCCTTTTTTGGGGCTCTTTTTAAGTTCTTTTAGGCCATTTTTGGCTTTTTTGGGCCATTTTAAGCTCTAAAAACTCCGGGTTTTTTGGGTTTTTTTGGGTTTTTTTTTTGGTTTTTTTTTGGGGAGGGGTCTCAGGGGGGGTCTCTTGTGAATTTTGGGTCTGGGGTCTCCCCCAGGTGCTGCCGGGGGTCTCGGGGAGGGTCCTGAGCTGCTCCAGCGGCCGCAGCTTCCGCTCGGTGCGGGAGCGCTGGTGGTACGTGGCGCTCAGCAAATGTGGGGTGAGTGACCCAAAAACCCCCAAAATCACCCCAAAATCGCCCCAAAAAACCCCAAATTCACCTTAAAAAACCCAAAATGACCCAAAAACCCCAAAAAACCCCAAAAAACCCCATCAAAATACCCCAAAAATGGCCCAAAATCCACCAGAGCTCAGGGCGGGAGCAATTGGGGAGTGACCCAAAAACCCCAAAAATCACCCCAAAAACCACCCCAAAAAACCCCAAATTCACCTCAAAAACCCCAAATTGACCTCAAAAACCCCAAAATGACCCAAAAACCCCAAAAAACCCCATCAAAATACCCCAAAAATGCCCCAAAATCCCACCCCAAAATCCCCCAGAGCTCAGGGCGGGGAGCGCTCAGCACGTGTGGGGAGAGTGACCCAAAAACCCCAAAATTCACACCAAAAATCACCCCAAAAACCCCAAAAATCACCTGAAAAACCCCCAAAAAACCCCAAATTCACCTCAAAAACCCCAAAATGACCCCAAAACCCCAAAAAAACCCCATCAAAATGCCCCAAAATGTCCCAAAATCCACCCCAAAATCCCCCAGAGCTCAGGGCGGGAGCGTTGGGGGAGTGACCCAAAAACCCC